CACCACAAAAAACTTACAGCTCTAAGTTCCCACTTAAATAACAACTCAATATTGCTAATTTCATGCTTATAAAATTAATTCATAAAACGTTCAATAACACAAAGAGACTGCTGACACCTTCTGGCCACTTGACATTCTGCCCAAATATCAAGAGGGTTTCCAAGAAAATATCTTTCATGTTTTTCCAGCCGCTCAGGATCACATGAAGACTTATACTATGCCTATACTGCCATATGACAGTTGCTTCAAGTCATTTAGTCCACCGTTCCCCACATTCTCTCACTCATTTTCTCACAGAAGCATCCAAAGCAAACACAACCTGATACAACTGATACAACCATATCTAGATTTGGCTTAATTTATCTTCACCTTTTAGATTTCGCACTGGGTATATTGCACCAAGGAACCACTGCAACTGAATCAAACAGTACATTCAGCCTCAGTACTGGATCCTGAACCCCTCACATCACAGGTAACAATACCTACATTTTATTGAATTAAACAGTCAAAAATGGGAGAACTTACCTGCAGGTTTTGTTTTTTTTTCTTTGGTTCAGTTTCTGATTCCATCTCTCCCTTTTGGGCCACACACTGCTTTAGCTGTTTTCTTTTTTCTGCTTTCTTTTTCTTTTTTTCCACATTTGTTTTCGACATTCTAAACCAAAACTTCTCTGTAACAGAAACCACCAAACTCGAATTAGAACCCTTTTTTATATTAAACATCAATCTTGTATACAGAGTTATAATTACACTGGTGCGAGAATGATTTGTGGCCACTTAACTACAAAACACACATTTGCACTGAATTTTTATCCATTTTGGAGAACTTCCATCCTGTTTCCTTTAGGAATACAGCATAGTTAGGCTACTGTAGAACTAGAATGTCATTCTCCTGTAGAAAACTCAACACAAACCGTCCTCTCAAGCCCACTCTGTGAACGCTTCACTGACCCTCTTGGCAGTAATCCCCCATAACAGATGCTGTGCTTGCTGCAGGTTACAGCACATCACACTGAACTGTTTGATCAGTTGTTCACCTCAGGTAACACCAGTCAGACCTCTCCGCAAAATTAATACATGTGACTTAGTCACAGACACCTCATTAATACACGTGTGCATACACACATACCCACAAGCCAACAGTAAGCCTACCTGATTACTAAACAGATAGCTTTAAACCGTAAATTCTCTCTGAAACTTCAAGTTTTCCTGGGTTTACGTAGATTAATGGGGAAAAGCATGCCTAAATAATTACGTCTTTTATCTTTCACTTTACAATGACTTGAGGGCAACGGCAAACAGGAGCTGTAGAGAACCTGGTTGTAAAATCGGGTCTAGTTGTAATGGCATATTACTTCTCTGAAAGAAGATCTGATTTCAGGGGCTTCCAACAGCTGCCCCAACACAGTTGCTTTCTGTGTAACAGCATACACACAACAGCTGTCTCCATCACAAGTATTTAGCTTGAAGCACGCTCTGAAAGATAAACCAGCCCAAAACCCAGGCACCCATACAGCCTAACCCTCACAGCAGGAGGTGGTAACAGCCTGACGAAGCTCGACCCCGGCACCTCCACCACAGGGACACTTCAGGCACGACATGCAGCAAGGCCGGGCGGGAGCAGGCCCCAGGAGGCGCTGGGGAGGCTCCGAACCGCCGCCTTCCCACCCCAGGACCCCGGGGCTGCGTTTCCTTTCCTGAGAAGCGTCCCTCCCGACCCCCCCATGCGGGACAGGGACACCCTCCGCCTCATGGCGGCCCCGGGGAGTGCGGGACACCGGGCACCCTCCTTCTCCCTCACCCGCTCCCCTCACGCACCTCACGATCCCGCCTCCTTCGCGCATTTAACCGAGCCCCACGCTTGGCGCCGCGGCCCGCCCCCTCTCTCTCACTGGCTACAAGGAGAGAACAGAGGCGTCTGATTGGCCTTCATCATGCCAATCCACAGGCTGGCCAATAGGAAGCCTCGCTCAGACTTGAAACGCCCACCTGGAACACGCGTTGCGAGGAGTGCTCGGCCGGTTCCTGGGGTGTGCGCGTGACGTCACCTTTCCGCGACGCGATCCGCCACGGAAGAGGTCTCCACCCCGGTGAAGGGGCGGGACCACGCCGCCCTTCCGAGCCCTTCCCGGGCCTGGCGGGGACCCGCCCGCACCCCGATAGGGATCCAACCAGGGCCCGATAGGGATCCAACCAGGGCCTGACAGGGATCCAACCAGGGCCCGATAGGGATCCAGCCAGCGCCCGACAGGGATCCAACCAGGGCCCGACAGGGATCCAGTCAGCGCCTGACAGGGATCCAACCAGCGCCCGATAGGGATCCAACCAGCGCCCGACAGGGATCCACCAGGGCCCGACAGGGAGCCGCAGATCTGGCAGCACCCACCCTTGCACGGTCTGTGCAGGACACCCAGTTTCCCCACATGGAAGCCGGAGCGCTGCCGGCCACAGGAGGCACCTGTGTCACCCCGCGGGTGCCGTGCCAGCGGCTAAGGCAGTGGGATGCTGCTTTCTGGACAGTGGTGTTGCCTTCCAGCCAGCAAATCCTAAAGGCTGTGTGTGTTTGAGGCAGCGTTATCTGCTGTCCCCATCGGGTCTGAGGGAACGTGATGGGAAGAGGCAAACGCTGCGGTTTGAGAGGGCAAGAAAACAGCTCCTAGGACTAGGCTTCTAGGGAACAAATTGGTTTCCATGTTTTCATTTTCTATAAATACCATGTACACAAACACTCCCATTTCCCCTCGGTAATTTGAGGGCAAAAACCTTTACCACAAGCACATACATAGATGGAGCTTCTTTTTTTTTGTGACAACCTGAAACAGGGCTTTTGTTTTCATAAAGTTTGATCCCAGTAGCTGCTGTGGTAGCAGATACTGGCGGTAGCTCCCTGTACATGCACCGATGGGAAGAGGTAAACCTGCTTCCTACTCCTGTCCAAGGCAGCATCACACTTTCTGCCATTCCTCTCCTTCCACCTCCTCCCCTCATCATGGGGTGCCAATCCTGCTGTCCCAAACAAAGCCTCTAGGACACGGTCTTCACTAGAAACCCCTTCCAACACCACCAGTAGGGTGCACAGCATTGTCTGGGAATGCACGGCCATTTAGATTCTAGAAGTCCCAATACTGTAGTAAGATGCTAGGGATGTGTTACGGCATTAGAGCACAGAGGATAATGAGCAGATGGTGGCATCTAAAATTAGAGGTTTAATTTAAGCTTTTGTTCCAATGTGAATAGGGAAGGTATGTTTTCTGTGTTTAGACTTCCTAAAATAATGATCGGGTTTTTTAATTACACATCCTATTGTGACATCCTGTGGTTAAACACAGTATTACAGATACTGTCACGTCACAAATTTGACCATGGTTGCATAAGAATAGACTACATGGAATTAGCAGCAGTAACTCACACCTACACTACTACATATGTAGTTTGGCAAACTACAGTCGTTCATGCAGATTCAGCCTTCGTCCAAAATTTCTGCTGCATAAGATAATAACGTTTGGCCCCATGTAATAAGATAGCAAAGGTATTTTGTTCTGTGTTGACCAGAAATTACATTGTATCTGCCCCTTCAGATGAAAGGCCTGCAACTCACTAGGATGGTTGTTTACACGCTACCCCCGTCAAAGACCATAAATCCACATTTCTGTTTTAGGCAGCATTTGTACTCTAAGGATTAAGCCTCTTCAGAGGCACACAGCAGTCTTCTCACAGCTGCAGTACAACCTCAAGGCTGTATAAAGCATAGACATTATAGCACTTAACGCTCACATCCCCTACAGTCTTTATCAAAGATCATTTTTCCCAGGTCAAGGAACACAGCATTTTCTGCTATGCAAACTGCTCATCTTCCCACCACACCAGAACAGCAGTGGGCACTCATAGCTGCAGGTGATGCAAGGGACTGCAATTACCCTCCAGTTAGTCCTAAACCAACATTTCAGCCCACCAGCCCCAATGTGCAGAGGAACAGCTCCAATGACACATGAAATTGAGGTCTTGACCTCCTGACACTATCAGTAAGCCTTGGCATTTTTCCTTACAATTAGCTGGATGAGGGGCCTACTTAGATCCCAGCTGGGGAATTAGCATTGTTCATTAACAGCACATTTCCATTTCATCAGCCTACAATATTTCAAGCCTCAAGCTAAGCAGCTGGATATTCATGCAGTTTTAAAGAGCCAAGACAGCTGATCAGGATAATAGATGGAGCATATCTGTTGTGTCTTCATTTGTTTAAGCTTTTCAGGAAAGCAGCAAGACCAGCCTCCCTAGACAACACTATTTTGGCCTCATTGTCATTACATGAGGCAAACAGTTAATGCTGCTTCATCTGGCTTCCTTTTTCCCTTCCAAACTGCAAAAAATAGCCATGCAATTCCAGGCTTCTAAGGGGCAATAAATTATGAAGAATTGCACTGCACATACGTCTGTGAGCACGTATGTGAATTGCTTAGGGAGGGCCTAGGAAAGCTAGGTACGGCTTTCATACATCAGGTACTTCCAATGACTATCAGAAACCAAAAGGCAGTTTGGTGTAAAAACTCACTTCATGTTGATGTATGTCATTTGTCAATCAGAATGCTGCACTGTGTGCCAGGTCACTTCCAAAAGGATTGAGATGTATGACAGCAGCTTGTATTTCAGACTTTCATCTTGGGAAACGTGTAGTTAGCATGGGAGACTTAGCATTACCTAAGCTAAGTTGGCTGTCTTTCTCACCAATTTCAGACACCTTCCTACCACCACTGCTCAGCTTCCTCCACCGAGTATTTTCCAGAATATTAAGATCTTATCCCAAATACAAGAACAAAGTTAGCTTAGAAAGGGCAACAGTTTATTGAATGCACAAAACACTCTCATACAAAAATAATTGCATAGAAAAATTTAGAGATCTATAGACAAGATTAAGTAGACAGAGGTTTGATCCAGATGTGAAAAGCCTCTACTATCTGCATCTGAAAGACATAAGAATACACCGTAAGAGTTGCATGCCTAAAACTTTCAGTCACAAGCAGATCCAGCCCAGCAAGGAAGGACTTGGGCCATTCACTGTAATACCAATGTTTGCCATGCTCTCCTCAGCATTGTGCTGACACACCATTTTTCCAGAACTTGACCAAGCCTCACACAGAGGAGGTGGAAGACCAATCTGCCATTAAAACAATTTGATGTCTTAATACTTCTGTCTATATAGCAACTTTAAACAGTACAGGATGGACAAGATGTAGTTGTGCTGTCAAAACACCTCTACTACATTCCCAACACCAAGCAAAGGTGACCAGTTCTAGAACAGCTAGAGGCAGGACAGCAGCACTCCTACATCATGTTGACACAAGGCTATTTTTAAATTATGTTTGTCTTTTTCCCTTCTACAGCTTGTACCTGTTGTGCTGCAGACTCCCATCAGATGGCACTCTAATTGCTCCTACTGACTTGAAGGCAGCTTGAGAAGCTCTCATCAGAGCAGCATATCTACAAAGAAATACAACCAGGCTCAGCACCCCTTATGTACACACCAGTGAAGTTTCACTCTTCCATCCAGTTTAATTATCTCCATCTGTCACACAAGTCTTAAAGTCCTATTGCACAGAACAACGAATGTACATCTACCCGAAAGATATTTTTTCTTGTTCTTGGTTACTTCAAGGTGCTGGGCAGAACATCAGGATTTAGTATTTAGATCCAGACCCCAAAGGGTACTTGAGTTAGCCAGCACCCCTTCTCAGTTAGCAGAGACTGACACAGATAAGCTAGGAAGAATTTTAAGAAAGCATTTGACAAGCTCTTATCCTGGCTCACAGACTTGCAGAAACTAAGCTTGAGATACAAGGAGGAAATAGTGGATACTTTATTGATCTGTCCACTAGTTTATGGAATTCCCTATTGTCTGAGCTCCCCACCAGCCCCTGATACTAGCTCTGAAATTTTGGAATGAGCTCAAAGTACCATAAATACAGCTTACCCTGCCTTGGAGATGGGGTGGCTGTTCCCTTTGCAGTCATGATCCAGAGGATGGCGATGTTTTATGCAAAAGTTGCCACCACACTGCTCACAAACAACCTTCATCATCTCCTTCCTTTTGCAGCCTGGCTTTAAGCACTTGTTTGTGAAGATCTAAATACAGGACACAAAGCTAGCCTTAGAATTAAGATGAAACAGAGCAAGCTTCTACACATTCTACTGTCAGAAGACCTAACTTCACAAGCATTAGGAAGGCAGTCTAGACTTTACCAGCAGTTTCCTTACCTTCTGCTTTTGCTGTGCTGGGTTGTATTTGCAGTCCTTATCCATGTGGGCTCCAACCACAATATCTGGTATTTCCCCCTTCTGTACAGGGATGGGTGCATTACAGAGTGGACACACTGGAACCTGCACATTCTAAGCACATACAGCACAGATTAGAACTATAGAATCATTCAGGCTGGAAAAAAAACCTTTAAGATAATCACACCCACTGTTAGAAGTGCAACTTCATTTTTCTATCCTTTCCCTCCCTTACCCATGGGTGATAGTAGCCTAATCACAAGCATTTTATGTTCTACTCATTTACTAATGCTTTTAAGGGCAACCTTCTCAAAGGTAACTGCAAATCATTATCCAAAAAATAGACAGGCACACTTTGCTATATCAGTTTATAGCAACATACTGGGTAGGTTGACTTTATGTATGTTTCTAGGCTTTCTGGAATTGCAGCCTTTTAACACTTCAAAGTCCAAGTAGAGGCCAGAAATCTAAGTCTGGCCCCACTTACTCTAGTTATTTCTTTTGTAGCTCCATGTTTACTGTCCTCCAACTTAAAGGACTTGGGCTGCAGGAAGCTTTAAGCCGTAATACATTCCTTAAAATATAAAGTACTTCTCTCTGGGACAATGTGGTATAAGTGAAAGACACAGAGGTACTGACCTCTGAAATGCTGTGTTTCTATATACTTAAACTTCAGCTGTATCATTAACTCTTGTGGCTCCCCCATCTATTTTTACTGTAACCATATGTAAAGTTTCAGAGCAGACTGTATACATGACTTGACAATTCAGCAGTGTGAATTGCTGACTCATGCCTACAAACTTACTTTCTTGTAGGCAGAGCTACACTTGTGGTCATCATAACGGATATGGTCTTTACAGAAGACTTCCCCACAGGCATCACATTTCAGAGGAAGGAAATCTGTGAGAAAAGTAAAAAAGAAAGTATTCTCATGAAGCAGAGCTAGCAGCTGTAAAAGCACTCACAGAAAGCTACAGAAACTCAAAAGCAAATCATTTTGTCTAGTCACAAGGACAGTTACCTCTACAGAGTGCCACCACAAATACCAGTACTAAAGAAGAAAGAGTGAAGCATTTTCCTCTTTCTGTCCACAGCATTCAACCCACTCAATCCATAAATACCCTGAGAGCACCCCGAACACAGAAACTTTAACAATGCACCAATCAGGACCTCGGAATTGAAGCGCAAAGCCGAAGCTCGGACTCCAAAAGAGTTTTATTCTTTAGAAAGCATCCCCTAACAAGACAGGAGACCAAATCACTGGGGCTCAGCTGTTACTCCTTCCCCCCACTCACTTAGAAGGGATCACTGAACCAGCACTGCTATCTGCGAGCAACCAGAGCGCCTCGCAGACTCAGGGTGCAATATCTGGACACCCGCACCCTCCAATACACAAGCTACCCATCCCTTAAGCACCATCCTACGAGTGCTGCCCAGATGATTCCCCGCTCACGGGCAGCGCAGGGAGCCCTTAACCGCGCCCCGAGGGCGCTCCTTACCCAGCTGCTTGCAGGTGCGCTCCGAGCAGTGCTCCCCCAGCCCCGGGAACTCCATAACAGCAGCGAGCTCGGACCCCAGACCGGACACAGGGCACGGGGCATGGCGTCGCCTTTATGGACCTCCCGCTGACTCAGCCGGGCTCCGTACCCACGTGCTGAGTCATGCGCCCGCCCGCCCCGGCTACCACGGATGACATCAGACGGGTCTAGCCAATGGCGCCCCTCGCTCTCCGTTACCGTCAGCGGCGCGTTGTAGGCGGGCAGCCAATCGGCGGGCGGGGAGGGGTGCTGAGTCATGTGCCAGGGCCGTGACGGTGACCGTGACGGGGCAGATACGGGAGCGGAGCGCAGGGAGGGGACGGGGGCAATGGGTGACAGCGGGGACAAGCACCGGGACCCGGCTTGATCCGCGCAGCCTCGCGGCTGTGAACTCCCGTTATGCGGGCGCTGACAGGGGAGGCAGCGCAGGGGTGCCCTGTCTCAAACCGGGACACGTGTATCGAGTAAGAAGACGTGAGAGGTGCCGGAGAGCCCTTGTCCGGCTGGTTTGCTCCAGAGGATACTCAGCCCTTTGCCTCTTCTCATTTTGATTTCATCCTTTGGTCAGGGCTCAGAGAGCATCCGTGTGGGCTATGATGCTTAATTCAGGTCGCTGTCAAACTTCGAACACATCCATGGGCCTGCGTGGGAGAGGGTCTGCTCGTCGCAGCAGGGTGATGGTCGGGATCCCGCTGCAGGACTTTGTCATGTATGGACTGGTTTGAATGGACAAGCCCAGGCTGCAGCTGTGGGTTTGCACAAATCATCCGAATAAAAAAGTTTCCCAGTAGGTCTGTGGTGTTAAATGTTCACCTCGCTTGAACGGGGCACCTTGAGGTCAAGGTGTAGGTTAGAAATGTTGATCTTTGAATGTGTGTAACAACACTTGTTTCGCACAGAGGAGGTGAGGACTATTGGGGTAATGACATTTGTTACGGGATTGAGAAATGACAAGATGTTGTTTTGCTCCTGCTCTCCCTGGAAAACACCTGACTTTCTCCTGTAGCAGATGACTCAGATGCAGAGTGAAGCTATGAGAGCAAAAAGGAGCTTTGGGAAGGCAGGTGGTGACTGCAAAGGCCAGTTTGTGCTGTCAACACTGGAACTGGCATGTGCCATTCATTGGTCTTCCACATCACCTTGCCAAGTGATGTTTGTGTGACTCCTGCTGTGTGTGCCAGCTTACAGCCAGCCACACTGGTGCTGTGGCCTTCCCGACAACACAGTCCTACTGGATTAAATGATGCGTTGTCATCAGCCAGACATTTCAAGGCCTTCCTACGCATACTGGTTTTCCCTCCTGAATCCATAAAATTACCAAAGGTCCTCATTTAATGCCATTCTTTGAGCAGCTGTGATGACTGAATGTTTCAGTCTGTCGCAGGTCTTTGTTCTGTGAAGAGCAATCTGGTTTAATCTCCTCCACTGCAGTGCTTGCTGCATAGGGTCTTGAGGGATGGCCGTGCCATGTCCATGCCACAACCCACCCTGGGGACACCCTGGGGGTGGGGCATAGCCCCACAGGGAGATACCAGCTCAGGATGGGGGCAGTGTGAAAGGCAGTGCTGTGCCAAGAAGAGTGTGTCCCGCCCCTCTGCCTCACATGGCTACAGACTTTGGAGACTGACATAAGAAGAGACTTTCTAGGTCACTCAGTTAAAGTCTCTATTAGACATAAAAGTACTTCATTTAATTCCTGTCATAAACAAACCAAACTCAATGTTAAAGCAGCTTGTTGCCATCAGAAGGCTGTCTCACAACACCCCTGCTCTCATGGAAAGAAGACAGCCTCGTGTTTCCAATGTGGAAGTTTTCCTGGCTTGACTGCCTTTAAAGCAGTGCTGTGCTTTGATTTACATAGCTTCTTCTTGCCATGTTTATAACCAGCAGCTGAAGGTACCAGGCTGATGCTGCTTTGAATGTCTAAGTTAGAGCCCTCGTTGTCCAGCTGTGTCCTAGAAGAGTGTTCTGCAGTGGTGGTAGATGTTCCCATAAGACATCATGCTGTTCATCTGCTGAGGGTCCCACCCCTGGGCTGCAGCTGCCCTTCTCCCCAAAAGCAGAACCTGCTTCTCGAGTCACATTTGATACAAGCCCTGGTGGTCTCAAGCCCAGGGAGAGCTTTAGCAGTCAGTGCTCCTTTTAGCACACAGATGTGCCTGGTGACAGTACAGCCATGCAGCATCTTCCATCAGGTTCCTTTGGCCAAGCGCTGGGGAGACCTTAGAGCAGCCTTCCAGTACCTAAAAGGACCTGCAAAAAAGCTGGAGAGGGACTTTTTACAAGGGCAGGTAGTGACAGGACAAGGGGAAATGGCTTTAAACTGACAGGGGGGAGATTTGGCTTAGATGTAAGGAAGTTCTTCCCTATGCGGGTGGTGAGGTGCTGACAGAGGTTGCCCAGAGAAGCTGTGGCTGCCCCATCCCTGGCAGTGTTCAAGACCACGTTGGACACAGGGGCTTGGAGCAGCTTGGTCTGGTGGAAGGTGTCCCTGCCCGTGGCCGGGGGTTGGAGCTGGATGGGCTTTAAGGTGCCTTCCAACTCAAACCATTCTGTGATTCTATGATTAAAGGGATTTCCCCTGACTGAGCTGAGCCAGCTGCCTGGTGTCTGCTGGGGTGGTGGCAGGCAGCATGGCTCTCCCCCACTTTGCTTGTTCTTCTTGACGTGGTTGGTTTTCACAGCTCTGTTACACTATTTACACAACACTCAAGAACTTGGGAAGTGCAAAGAAAATCACATGCTGAGCTTGTAGGCTGATGCTTTTCATACAAAGCACCTACCCAGTGTCCAAGAAGAGTGGGACCCCAGTGATCTCTCCAGGAAGGCTTGCCTAAAAGTGAGGCAGAAAGAGGCTGGTGTCTTCACTGGCTGTCTAATGCTGCCCTGCGCTGGAGAGCTGCTGCCAAAGGGATCATGTTTTATGGTAGGGAAGGGAGGAGTTTGTGTAAGGATAACAACAGAAATGGCTCTGCACAGATTAGATGCTCTTAAGGAAGACTGTAAATCCCGAGTCTAGAAACCCACATAGTACAGGCAGCCATCTTAATAGAAATGAGGATTAGAAATTAGCCGAGGTCTTTAGTGATATTTTTAGAAGGTTGCTCCTGACAGGTTAGGCTGCTGAGAACCAGAGGAAAGTGCCGAACCCTGTATTACTCGGGAAAGGATCACACAGTTCAGTGTGTGATTAGAGGCTGGCTAGCTTAGCGACAAGGGGGATAGGTGGGTTAGAACTGATTCAGGAGGAATTAGCAAGGGAAATTGCTTGAGAAGCAGAATTTGATTAGGGGCAGCCAACATGGATTTTTGAAAGGAAAGCTACGTGTAACTAACTTGCTGGAGTCTGCGGGAGGCACCGCTCCCCAGCAGCCTGCAGTGTATTGGTTTTGTATAACCCAGTCAGCGAGCGGAAGGCCTGGACTTTGCCACCAGGATGGTGACACTGGGTGGGATGGATGGGGGTCATCTTCCTCCCTTGCCTCTGCAGGGTCTCTCTGCCTCTTCTTTTCCCCTTCCTCCCTTTTACTCCTTTTCTATTTTTTTTAGGGGAGGAGGGCTATTGCTTTTTCCTTTTTCCTTCCCTTTCTCTCCCTCCAATCCCTGTGATTGCCTCTTGGTGGTCCTGCAGAGGACTAAACACCACCGTCCACCCCACCTCACCAACAGGGTCTGCTTTAGGACACACACTGCATTCTAAAGAGGGAATAAAACACCTCTGAAGATGATCTTATCCTTCTTCAACTTCACAGACGTTTTTTCCTTCAAACAGAGCCCCCAGAAGTAATTATTTTGGAAAAGGCTCTGCAGAAAACAGAAAACTTTCTGACAGCCTCAGACTTACACAGCACTACCCTCCAGTACAGCCAGTCCAGCCTGGTGGAGGCCAGGCATGGAGGAGCAATGACCAAAGGAGACTTGCCCCAGCTGAGCAGACTGTCACACTGGCCAGAAGAAGAGAGTCTTCAAAGGCTTTCCCTGTCCTCTCTTTCATGGCAGCTTTAATTGCTTGGCTGGAGAAAGCCCTTGTTGCTTTTCAATGCAGACATGATGGAAACACCAAATGGGACAGCCCAAGCATGGCTTTGTTTCCTCCTGGGCTGCCACCCTGTGAGGGCAGGGGGATGACTGCCAGCTATGGACACAGCATGGATGGGGAGGCAGGGATGTGGCTGGCTCCATCCTATCTCTCAGGGCAGAGTCTGTCCCCTTCCCATAGAGGTGTATTATGGACAGCACATCACAGAGGTGCCCATGGCCAAGACACATGGGTCCATCCATCTTGTTTCTATCTTGTGTGCCCCAGACTCCTCCCAGCACCATTCAGAAGACACAAATATGTCCCCTGTCTTCGGGGTCCCCAGGGCCACCCCATCTTCCACCATATTCCTGCACCAGCCAGGAGCATCCCGCTTGCCGCTCCAGCTGCAGAGCCACCACTGCAGCATTAACGTTTGGGTGACTCCAGCTCACATTTTCCTCTTGCAGGTCTCTGAACTCCAATCCCATCAACCTGCTTTTCAGCTCATAATCTCATACCAGGCTCTTAAAAGTGAGTTTTATTTTTATTGCAATGACCCTGTGGTGCTGCCATATCCCTCTGTGGAGGAGACGTGACATCTCCATTACATAGCTCGGATAAGTGTCTTAAAGAGACCACACACAAAGGAACCTAATGGTACCTATTTTTATTAGGTTTATTACAGGAGGGGAAGTAAAGCAGTCCGATCTCCCCACAGGATACTCCGTTAACAGCAGCAGACAGAGAGGAGAGATCTGTGGAGGCGGATCAGTTTTCCAAGAATATTAGCTCCTGCTGCTCTAAAATTAGAGTCTAGGGAGAGCAGACAGGTTGACATAATTGAAAGGGCTGTCTTAGGGGATGACATAGTTAAACGAGCCCATGATCAGCTTTCGAGTGACAGCTCCGTGACTTCTTCTAATTCCCAAAGGAGCGCCAAGTTGCGAAGCTGTGGTTTAACTAGTCCTGGATCTTATCTTGTGATGGTGTCAATATTATTAGAACCCATTTCTAAAGAGATGCTTCCAAAATCACTGTACATGAACCGACTGGTTTTACAGGCACAATCCTCCTGCAGCTTCACCCAGCAAAGCACATAGTTGATACGCACACTC